CCCACTCCTGTTTTAATGCCTCCATTGCTGAGAAAAAGAAAGTTTTATATGACTCTCTAAAAAGATGGTTGCCACCTATTATTTTTGACTGTTTAGAAGAATAATTAAAACTTTAGGCTATATGAGGGATCGCTCAGTGGTTTGAGCATTGGCCTCTTAAACCTAGGGTTGTGAGTTCAATCTGTGAGGAGGCCATTTAGGGAACTGGGGTAAAAATCTGTCTGGGGATTGGTCCTGCTTTGAGCAGGGGTTGGACTAGATGACCTCCGAGGTCCCTTCCAACCCCAATATTCTATGATTCTATGAAAACAGGAGCTTCATATAATCTTGAAAGACTATAAAACACTTGAAAGAATGAGGTGTTTATCCCTCTTAATGCAGCTTTCAGAGAGTCAATACGCTCTAATGGAACGGCAGCCCAATAAGGACTTAAGATAAAATATTAGTTATCTATTGGTAATCCTGGGCCTTGAAATAGACACAGGTTGTGGCTGGGTTCCATTTCTTAGCACATCCTGATACAATCAATGGTGAACTACACCATTTGGTGTTGTATAGCACTGGGAGACAATAACTGTTAAGTTCTATTACCAGTTCTTCCAATGACTCATGGCATATATATCTGTTATATATATGCCAATATGACCATTGTGAGAAAAGATACAATTGATGGCATAATCTTCATCATAACAGATCTGGTTGTTGTTGTAATTTTGTTTGGCTAACATGGTGTATGTTGTTTTTGAATTCCTTACATTTTGTAGCCATATGTGTTGAGGTGAACTTGAGGGGGGAACTTGATATCCAGAGTGCACATCTCACCTTGAACTTTACTGTCTTACAAAATTTATCATAACTATAATATTAGCTTAATATAGATGTGTAGGTTTTATATTTGCGTAGAGAAGGAAGGAAGTACTAGAAGGCTCCTTCTAACTTCCAGAAGTCTTACTTTCATTCATTGTCGCACAGTGATCATTCTTAATTATTTGAATTTTGTTTCGTTGCCATGCAGAAGGCTAAGCTGCATGAGTCATGAGCAGAAGCTTGCTTTTAATAAACTGAAAATATGGGAATAAAATCAAAGTGAACCTGAAATTGTCTGACTGTCTACACCTGTAATGTCAAAGTGGTGTTTACTGAAATTTACTGAATTGTCTTACTAATACTCTTATAGTACTTTCAGTTTTCCTAAGCGCTATGTCTCAACTAATTAATTGTTTAATGGGAAAATTTACTATTTAAGAAAAAAAAGTTATAGTCACGTAACTGTATCATGGGAAAGAATTGCAAAAGTATACTTTGGTTTTGATAGTGATTGTTAGTGCTCCATGAAAGAGAGAGAGAATGGCACTGACGAGAGCCATACATAGTATATTGGGTACTACGTTGCTGATCCTGAAAACAAGCATGTGCATAACTTTACCATCAGTGCGACGACTCACATCATAAAGTTATGCACATGCTTAAATATTTGCAGGATAAGGCAGGAACTGTGCAACCTTCTTTGCATAACGCACTTCGAAGCATGGATCTCCTTTTGAGCGGAAATTGCCAATTGTGACTAATTGTACCAAATTGTAGTGGTTATTGGAGACAAACAGATGCTAATATAAAACTATTAAACTAATTTTCATTTACTACTGACACCTACATTTTAAAGACAAAGTGGGTGAGATAATATCTTATATTGGACCAACTTCTGTTGATGAGAGAGGCAAGTTTTTGAGCTTACACAGAGCTTTTCTTCAGGTCCAGGTGACCTGAAGAAGAGCTTTGTGTAGCTTGAAAGCTTCTCTCTCATCAACAGCAGTTGGTCCAGAAAAAGATATTACTTCACCCACCTTGTGTCTATCTAATATCTTGGGACAACATAGCTACAACAACACTGAATACCTAGATTTGAAGACAGTCTCCAGAGGTAAAAGGAGTGATCTGGGGTCTCTTCCTAGTGCTGCCTAGACCTTGGGTCTGATTCTTCTCTCTCATAATTGAACACTGCTGTAACTTCAATCACTACAATGGAATTATTCATGATTAAGGCTACGTTTTAGTCACAGGTATTTTTAGTAAAAGTCACGGGCATTAAACAAAAATTCATGGGCCCGTGACCTGTCCATGACTTGTACTATATAACCCTGACTAAATCTTGGGCAGTGAGGGTGGCCCGGGGCACTGCAGGGTCTCTGGGGGAGGAGCAGCCTGGGGGTGCCGCTGTGCTCGGGAAGGGGGCTGGTGGAGCTGGCAGGCTCCCTACTTGGTTCCTCATGGCTCCCCCTTAGGCGGAGGTGTGGCCAGACAGCTCTGCGTTGCTGCCTCTGCATCGGCTCCGCAGTTCCCATTGGCCAGGAACCATGACCACTGGGAACTGTGGGGGTGGTGCCTATGGGTGGAGGTGGCACGTGGAGCTAGGAGCTGAAGGGTGGGCATGTTGCCGTTTCTGGGAGGGGGGCCCCTGAGGTAAGCACTGTCCAGCCCCCTCCCACACCCCAGCCCTGAGCCCCCTCCCACACCCAAACCCCTGCTGTTGCTGGGGGCACGGCGACCCAAGAATGCCCCAGCAGCAGCCTGTGCGGCTGGCCCAGGGGCTGCCTGAGCTGCTCAGGCGGCCGCTGGGCTAGCCGCACCGGCTGCTGCAGAAGTCATGGAGGTCACAGAATCCATAACCTCGGTGACAAACTCACAGCCTTAGTCATGATTTACGACTGGGTGGGAAGGGAGTACTAGAGCTGGTTGAAAACTTTTCAACACAACTATTTTCTGTTGGAAAATGCTGAGCTGATGGAGTTTAAACATTCTGCAGAAATGTGGCTATTCCATCAAAACTTTTGAGGAAAACGAGGCAGGGAGGCAGACTGGCTGGCCCTGTTCAGGATGAAATATTTTGCAAAAATTTGAATTTTTTTGGAAGAAAGGAAATTCTGCTTTCCAGCCAGCTCTGGTGGAGACCTTTTTGTGAGGGCCCTGGGAAAATCACAAAGACCAACGTTTTTCAAAAGTGGCCCAATCCTTTGGGATGGGGAGGTGTTTAGCTTTTGGGTTTGATTTGAGACTCCTTAGGCCTGATCTTCAAATGCTCAGTATCTCTGAAGTATCCTTTGTTTTCCACGGGAGTTGTGAGTGCTTAAAAGCTTTGAAACTCAGGCCCAAGAATCTCAAGTTTCACATCCAAAGTCCATGGCCACTTAACCTCTCTGTTGCTAAGATTTCTCATTTCTAAAATGCGGTCATAATATCATCCTCCCACAAGTGCTGTGAGCCTACATCAATGTACATAAAGCCCTCTGAGCTCCTCAGGCCTTGTCTACACTACAGGGGAAATTCAATCTAAGCTATGCAATTTGTAGCGTAACTGAAATTGATGTAGCTTAGATCTGCTTACTGCGGGGTCCACACTATGCAATGTCAATGGGAGATGCTCTCCCATCAACTCCCCCTACTCTTTTCAATCTGGTGGAATACAGGAGTCCACGCGAGAGCAATCGATTTAGCAGGTCTTCACTAGACCCACTAAATCGACTGCTGATGTATCGATAGCTGCTTGTAGATCCCATAGTAAGTGTGGACAAGCCCTCAGATAGAAGATGCTATTTATCCAGAAGTGTTGGTGTAAATCATGATTGAGGCAAATCCATCAGCGGTGTTATCAATGGACTATATTAGTTACTTTGAAGTGCTGATGTTCTAGTGGCTTTACTGTGCTTAAAAATAAAGGTACCATGTTACTGCAGAACAGAAATAACAGCTGCAAAAGGTTAACCCAGTATATTTTATGCATCTTTTAAGTGCTTGATACTGCTAAAGTCTGCACGCTCACTTTAGAGATTCAAGATTTGATTCAAACTGTCCTTTTTTCACAATTTAAAAACTCAAATCTCATCAATTCTAGTGTATATTTTAGCTGTCAAATACTTTCTCCTGCATTTCACAATGATTTTTCTGAGTTCCTGGTTGAGAACAACATATAACTCTTGCTGTTTAAACTGCATGTCTTCTCTGAGTTGATGGCACACATTTTCCCTTTGAAGAATCTCTCTGTATTATGCATGTTACTGTATGCCAGATCAGCTGAATGGCAGTTCTGCATATAGGGCGGGGAGGGAGTTCTTTGATTATTCTACATTGGATAGTGTCTGCTGCTCTGTTTAATCAGAGAACCTAGATGGCCATTGCATGCTGTCAGAACCCTCTTTCTCTTGCAAGTCCCAGAGACACTATTAATTAAAAGAGTTTTCTCCCTGCCATGATTCAGGTCGGGGCAAGATCCCCAGTTTTGGGCCCCAGTCAGCCCCTCAACTTCCACTGCCTAAATGGAGAATAAACCTAGCTACTCCTACTACACAACCTCCTCACTCTCCAACCCCACATAAGCCCCCCTACATTCTAGCACAGCAGCACTGCCAGTACTCAGATCTGGCATCAGGATCTTCTTGGATCCAGCTATTTTTGGCCCTTCCTGTGCATTCCACTGTCTAAACACAGAACAAATTTAGCTGTTCCTACTCCCACCAAAAAATCCAGAAATCAATGCCTCTAAGTGCAGTGCTGCAAAATTCCAAATCTGGATCCTGTCAGATAAAATGTGATCCATATTATTCTAGTGTACTAGGAAAAACTGCACATGTACTGAAGTTAGATGGTAAAGTTAGAGGAATGCAGCCCAAAAACTAGCCAGATCCAGGTGTTAATTTAGCGATTTGGGTAGAATAGTAGAAGCAAAATATAATCTAGTGTTGCTACAATTTCTGGTTTATGGTCAAAAGTTGACAGGCTCCAGAGCCTGGGTCTGTTTGTTGTGATACTGTTGAGCTGCAGTGTAGGAGGGTCGATTCTGAAGGTGTGTGAGGAGCAGCTTCTCCTAGTCTCTCTTTAGACAGTGAACATTGGGGGCTGGGGTGGGGGGAGGATCCAGGTGATGAGTCTGCAGGTTGGTCGCGGCCTCGGCGTGCAATGATGCTTTACGCTCTAAGTCTGTGTTTGTGCGCGGGCGCGCAAATCGGAGTCGCTACACTTGATCTCCCAGCAGTGGTATTTGCACGGAAAGGGGCAAAATTTGGGCAAGATCCAGCCGTGTGCAAGGGACAGATCCGAGGTGTCTGCTGCGCGGATTACACTGGGATACATTAGGACGAGGGGTTCCCCCTGGGATCGGAGCCTCGAAGCGCCTCTTTCTCCATGTAGACAGCGCGGGGTGGGGCTGCTGAGCGCCAAAGCCGGCCGATTCCGGCAGGATCCAGCTTTTCCCGTTTTCCGCGGCGAGGGGCTTTTTGAAGGAGCCTGTCTCCACATTCCTGATTTGCTGGATATTGTGGAGGGCTCGTCCTGGGCTGGGCTGGGCTGCTGCTGCTGACGCGTGGCCGCGGCTGCTGCTGCACGTCCCTCTGACGTGTTGGAGCCAGACCTAGACCCAGCAGAGACCCGGGCTCCAGCTCGCTGCTGCTGCTGCGCCGGTTTGCCAAGGTACCTTTTCCCGGCACCTCGCTTCGCTTCCCCCCTGGCTGCTAGTGTGGTTGCAGTTTTCTCTGCTGGGGGCGGGCGGGGGGATCTGCTCAGGGTCTCCGCTACCAGGGGCGTTTTTACTATTTTTTTTTAAATCTCTTTTCGAGGAGCCATTTTAAAGTGATCAGTGGCTGGTGACGGGGGGGAACTAGGGCGAGATCTGCGTGCAGACCCCTGGGTGTCACTTGCCCCTTCCCTCTGCACCCCTGGAGAGCCGCTCGGATTAAAAAAAGCCATTGACCCGCCTGCCCTCCAGCTGCTGCGGTGCGGCTTGCCAGCCAGCCGCTATTCCGGGGCCTGGCTCGGATGGTCCCGTTGCTTTGATGCGGTTGTGTCAGCAGGAGGGGAGGTGTCTGATTGGGTGCCGAGCTGCTGGGTTTGCTGCTATTGCCCGGGATCTTCCCGCTGACAGGCTGGGAAAAGCCTGGACTGGACAACGCGTGCCAGGGGAGAGGGCGAGGGTGGTTGGGGAGGGGGCGGATGAGGGGTGTTTATACAAGGCATTTTTTTTCCTAGAGGAAACTTCTCTTTTATATAGGACAGCAGCGCCAGGGCGCCTGTGGGGGAAGTGGGGTGCGTGGATTGGGCTCTCTTGTAATGGCCCCTCCATAAAGCCCCCAAGCTGGGCAGCCCCCGGTAGAGTTGTTCCCGTTCACCCCCTTGCGGAGCACAGCGGTGTGCCAACTGCATTGTTTACCTGGCTGGCGGGCCGTCAAGGGGGGTTGTTGCGTGCATCGTGTTGTGCCTGATGTGGTGGCGGGGATGCTTTTGCGAGTGAGGAGGGTTGGGAGTTAACTGTCCATCTTTTTTTTCCCCTCTTGAAATCGGTTAGGCTCTTCTTGGTGCGTCTTCTTGTGGCGGCGGAGTTACTGCTTGTTGTTATCTGGCATCCCCCCCCCCCCCCGAGCCCCCTCCAGCCCGTGGCTTCTGCAATGCGGTGGGTGTGGTTACATAGTAAATTGGAGCTCTGGACCTCTGCAGTGGCAGCGCTGTCTCCGCTCCTGTTTTTAACGTTTCCAATTCCAAGGTTTCTCTCGGCTGCACACTGGGCTGGCGTCTTAAGTTGGGGAAGAGAGGTTCTTGCGATCGAAAGGGAAAGCTCAGGGGAAACAGATGGTATTAATCAGATGTGCGGGATGGGGGGAGGGGTGGGAGAGAAATAAAGAGTCAGACAAGTTTTGCAATCGTGTAATTTGAGTACTTGTGTTTTCAGATGTGAATCCTGGTAGCCTTGGGTTGAAGTGTGTACTTGAAAGATGTTGCAGTGATAGATGTGTGCATGTACTTCATCGCAACTTAGACAGCAAAGATAAACCAGGTGGGCTAGAAAGTTTACAGTGCTGCCATACAGTTACAGTATTTTCATGTGTAGTTACAGAATTATTCATATTTTGGTTTTACTCGCTTTAATGGGGAGTTTGAGGGTATTTTGTGGGATTTAAAAAATAGAAGAGGGAGTGGCTCTGTCAATCTCCTGGTAATAGGTTCTGTATTAAGCTGAGAACAAGGTATGTGGAGAAAGAAGGGATATCCGGGAGGGGTATTTTTAATTGTTTTAATTTTGTCAGATATACAATTAACTTAAAAATTTACACTTCCATAATAATTAAAGTCAGTAAAATCAGTCTTTTGTAGTTTCTTTTTATTTTCCTCTCAGCGTCGTCATTTTATTGAAGTAATAGAATGTAATGAAAGACTAGCATTACTCTGAATATTACTTCTGAATATGTGCCTAAACCTTATTTATACTTGAGGCAAAGATGTAACACACTTGCTAAACTGAACTTTGTGCATCACTTTGAGGTAGGAACAAGCAAAAATACTTATTTAACTTGACTTGTAAGTTTTTTAGGGAGACGAAGTGAAGAATCACAGGTCAAAGTTGACACTTTCCACAGTACTATTATCTCCTATGCGGTGAACCGTTTACAGTTAAATAATCCAGAAATAAAGTAGGTTTTTTCACTCTTAATTTACTGTTTGACTTTGGTTAAGTTAATATAGTGCATTGTGGCTCGTTTCAATAAATATGGAAGATAATCTTTAAGTACAATATAAGAAGCAAAGCTAATCTTCCTGTGTCACTTAATTGGTTAAAATCATTGTGTGACAATTTGCTGCATCAGTATTTTTTTCCTTCATGTTGTTGTACCAGTCTCCTTGGTTGGGAAATCTCCACTCTAACATGATGATGACATTTGCACATCAGAAATAATATAGTGGATGGAAAGAGGGGGATCACCACATTAGAGTGAAGAGCGACTGCAAGTTTATTCTGTATGATTCCATTAGAACAGGAAGGCTCCTTGTGATTCTGTTCTGCTACAGTCCTGTTCACTGCAGTGGTGAATGATTAGTACCAGAGAACATTAGCTTAAACACATTGAAATATTTTTAATGTATCATACTTTATTTTTATTTAATACACTAATACAGCCAACCCTTCACCTAATTCATCTTACAGTGGCGTCCCCTTATTAAAGTGATGTTTAATGATGCAAGTGATGTTTTTCTTCTAAAGGGTTAGCCAGTATTATTGGAAACTTGACAGGTACATTATAAGAGCTCATCTAATGTGAGTCTGCCTTTTATTTACTGCTGTGGTGTAAAGGCTTTGTCTTTGTCATGAAGAAGAGAGGGGGTGCATGCCCAGAAGCAAGGAGAACTGTAGCAATGAAGTCATTGCGCTGCCTTGTGTTATGACATCACTCTAGCTCAAGGAAATGAGGGTGGGGCACTGAAAATCAGACTGTCTGAACCATCTTTGTTTTAACTTTGTGTCTACTAAATGAAAGACTGATGCAGCCTTGCCTTAGGAACTGCAGCACAGCTGTTTGCGTTTTTTTTTCCAAAGGAGGGACAAGTAGAGGTGAATCTAAAGATTGTGTGTGTATATTTACAAATAAAACGAGATGCGGGTTTTCATCTATGGTGGAAACCTGCAAAATACTTACCCTCGCTGAACAAAAATTTCCTCTAACAGGTATTTGTGTGAGGACTTTGTTTGAGGGCTTCATTGTTTTATAAATAATGTGACTATTCACAATCAGTTTGGTATATGGAAATGTATTCATTTAACATATTTTTATTAGGTATATTGTATGTTTTGGTGTATTGGAAATGATGTATTCCTTGTTATATTTATGTAAAATGTCTTCCGTGTATTTTAAGTATTTATTTTGATTTAACTAACAGTAAAATAGAACTTGAAATGGGGTATTCATTCAGTGGGTAGTATTTAAACTTGATTCATGTAATTCTCATGTACCAGTAAATGGTGGTATATGACAGGGAGGAACAATTAAAGAATTTTTCAAGTATGTTACAAAAGAACATTTGGTTCCTAAGATACAGTGTGTATATATATGATACAGCGGTATCAGTTACTACACTGACAACATACTCAAAAGTACCTTTTACAACCATGAAGTTTTTTTCCTTTTGAAATACAGAATATAGGTCTAATTCTGCAAGTACACGTGACTAACCTTGAGTAGGTCCATTGAAATCAGTGCGGCTACTCATTTAAGTAAGGATGTGGTTCTTTAAATGTAGATGACAATGTTGTGGTATATTTTGTTTCAGGATCCTATTTATCACATTTTATACTGGCAAGACATTCCGTTACTGAAAAAATATTTGAATTTTCAGTGTGTTCTGGTAGGGCTTTGACCTCCCTTTAATTTAATGAATTGGTGATAAATATGAGTATAACTGTGAAAAATGTGGTTACTTCCCAGCTGCACTGAGAATTGAGTGATGGGTTCCTGAATAGGGTATGTTAATTCTCTAGGTGGATTGTTTTATACTAGATATGCAAGCTGTGGAACACACACAAAAGTCTACAATTATGGAGAATAATATAAGAATGCTAAATGAAAATAGATTTAGAAAAGGGTAGTTAATCACTGAGATGTTTACTGCAGTAGCAAACTTTTTTAAAGACTTTATAGTTATGAGCAGGTTTAAAAAAAATCCTGAAAACTGTCTAACAATGGAAATAAATTAACTTCTAACCGCTTTTTTTTCAATTTGTGGTGATGAGGGAAATGTTGACTGATTTCTGAAATTAGGTATTTAATATATACTACCTGTGTTCACTTGTATAAACAAGAGGTCTGGCTATAGTTCTGATTCCACAAGCTTGTAACTAAGAGGAATCGTATTGATTTTTCCATATTATCAGAAGGTCCATATGTGGGTCATAAAAGGATATGAACACTTCCTTAAGCATGGCTTCCATTTCTTACCCTGGCAATGGACCTAGCACTTCAATTATCTAGTGAGAGACTCCTAGATGTGTAATAGGAAAGAGGCTGACCTTCCAAAGCTCTTGACATCTGGGAGCAGGAACAGCTTGGGTAGCGAGAAGAAATAATAGCTAACCTATCCGTTTGCCTTCAATAAGAGAAGTCCTGCAGGCTTATTGCTCCTGCCCCTGCCATTACTAATGGTTGTCACTATGGGCATTAGCGCAGAGGAACCTCAGGAGGAATGTGCAGAACTGAATGGCTGGGAAAAAAACCCAGAAATGGGGTTACAGTATTTGAGACAACTGAGTTAATATGAAGATAATGTGGAAATGTCTGGATGCAGATTCAGTGTTTTCCCCCTTACAAATAACTGAATAAATAAACTCAAATAATTGACTTTTTTTCTTTTAACCTAAATTAAAATTTAATGTTCACATTTTGCCTGGTCGTTTATTATTCTGTAGTCACCAGAACTAAATGATTATATTTAATTCTTGCTTTCATGAACATTCCATATCTTAGCCTTCTAAATCACTTGTGCCTTGCTTTGGGTGCAGTCAGTGAGATACAATGTATGAAACGTGCTACATAAATAAAATGAGGCCTGGTGAGTGTTTCCTGTCTGTAGGGTGCTTATATGAAATATTTGTTTTCACTTACAACCGTCAGTCTTCCACCACCCTCTCCTGTACAGATTGTTCATTTTGAAAGCACTCTGCTTTACAGAAAGACAGTCATTTTCCATTGAGTTCTTAATCCATAAAATTTGAATCCCTTTGCAAGATGAGAAACCATAGTAGTCGTAGTAAGTGTGTGTGTTGGGGGGGTAGAGCTGGGTTAGGGGAAGAGAGAGGAGGGAGGAAACGGGGGTAGGGAGGGGAAAAATTGTCCACCAGATGTCTGATCCAACTGTGAAAAGGTTTTCATTTATAGGGTTAAAAAAGAATGTAGGAACCAGGGGGACTTGGTGTGAGGGAAAAGGGGCTAGAAGAAAATTAAAAGCATATGTGATCAGTATACAAGATTTTAGGGGAAAAGAACAATTTAAATGAATGTGTACTGTTATAAGCATATACAAGTATTTACACACGTGTAATGTGTGTCTGTGTGCAGGCACTGTAACATTGATAAATATAATAGCATCCATAAATGGCATTAGAGGAGGTCTATAAAACTCTTGAATGGAGTGGAATGAAGTTGAAGTTCCTGGTTAAGCCTGAGTTAAAGCTAGACAGACTACCTTAGTACAATATATGTACATTGTGAAGTAGATTTGGCTCTTAATAGATCATTTTTTTCCTAAAGGAGGTGGTCAGTGACAGCTAGAGCCCAGAATAGCTGGTGGGAATGTGGGGAACAATCTCCCTGCAAGGAGATTATATTTTTCAAGTGGAAAAACTGACACGCTCTGGTCAGTGGCGGGGGGGGAGGGACTACAGGGAGAGGGGTGTTGTTGGGGATGAGGGAGAAAAGGAAAAGGGGTACTGTCTTTTCTCTTCTCTCCTACCCATTCTCCATTTCAAACTGGAGCACTTCACAGTTAAGAGCAGGATAGACAATAACAGTATATTTATCATTGTCAGTCTTCACTGTTGTCTCCTAGTTCCAATCTCTTCCCCTCAAATCTAGCTCTTACTTTACCAACTCCCCACTCCACCCACACCACCAACTGACATACAACTTAATTCATCAACTGACTTCTTCCTTGCAGAATCAACCATGCCAACTAAATCCATCCCCTCCTGAGTCAGAACCTCTCCAACCCAACCCCTATAGCTCAGGAACACTCCTCACCCTCCTTACTTAACCTCTCCTCAGCTCAGAACCACACCCTCAGCTCTTAACCCTTTCCCATCGGACAATCCTCAGAGCAACCCCTACTCCTGCCTCACACCCAAGGTTAATCATCTTGACACCTCTCTCAGAAATCCCATATTATGTGCTGGGTCTGGAAAAGCAGGAGCAGAGGCAGCAGGGAGGATAAGCGTGCAATCTGAGGTAGTCCCTATTCCTTGCTCATTTTCTCCTCGCACTGCTGAGTGCAGCCTACATGCTTCAGGCCAAG